TATTAGGATATGTGCTCTGGGGATAGAGCCAAAACACAGATACCAAAGATCCACAGAATCTGGTTACTGGCTGGATTTAAAAAATGAAACAGCTAGATATGTCACAAAAGATTCAAGTCTAGGTAATGTTAATGTCACCAAGAAGCAGTGAAAACACTGATAAGAGAGAAGCCAAGAAGTTTGAGGTGCATACCTAGCTGAGGTGTTGACAGAAGTATACCTTAAAGATATTGCAGGTTCAGTTCCAGACCACCACAATAAAATGAGTGATAATCTTTTTGCTGCTGGAGGGTCTTTCCTTCAATTTGTAAAAACAAACAAACAACAAAATAACATCTAACTGAAGTGCAATAAGATGAGATATGCCTTTATTTAGTGCTCTGAAGAATCAATCTAGTTCTTTGTTCAAAAGATATTTTCTGAACACAGAATTTTTTCACAAGTGATGTGAATAGTCTCATCCGTTGAGGGCCAGCTGTATGGCACTAATTGATCAAAGTGCTTTAAAATGTATTGTGTAAGCCTGATATTAACCCTGTGAGGTTTAATAGGCAAGAAAACTAAGGCACCAGTGTTCATATTAGAAGTAAGAGGTAAAACCAAGATTTGAGTCCAGGCCTCTCTGATTCCTAAGCCCATACTTTTAAACTCAGATTTATTGAAGTTTAACTTACATATAGTAAAACCTACTTTTTTAAAAGTGTATAATTTAATGAGTTTGGGCAAATGCATATAGTTAGCATAACCATCACTACAATCAAGATATAGAACATTTCTATCACTGCAAAACGTTCTTTCAAGTCTTTTTGTATTTAATCCCCTCCCTCCACTCTCAGCCTTTGGTAACCACTGATTTGTTTTCTGTCATAGTTTTGCCTTTTGTAGAATGTCACATGAATGAAATGATAGATTATGTAGTCTTTTGTGTCTGGCTTCTTAGCATGTTGATTTTAATTAACTTATGCTGTTGCATGTATGAATAGTTCATTCCTTTTTATTTCTGAGAGTATTCCATTGTATGGATATATTACAGACTGTGTTCATCGGTTCCCTGGTTGATGGACATTCAGTTTCCAGCTTTTAGCTATTACAAATAATCTGCTTTAAACTTTTGTGTGCAGGTTTTTGGAGTATGTTTCATATCTCTTTGGTAACTCCCTAGGAATAGGGCTGCTAGTTTGAATGGTAAGTGTAGTTTAAATGTATGACCTGTCAAACTATCTTTCAAAGTGGCTATACCATTTCATAGTTCTCTCAACAACATACATATAAGAGGGCAGTTGCTCTGCATCCTTGTCAGTACTTAGTATTGTTAGTTTTTTTATTTTAGCCATTCTAAGACATGTATGATTTATCACTGAGCATTTTAATTTTCATTTTCCTAATGTGTGTAGATGTTGAGCATCCTTTTTATGTGTTTATTTGCCATTTAAATATTGTCTTTGGTAAAGTATCCATTCAGCTCTTTTGCCTAATTTTAATATATTTTTTCTTCTTTTTGAGCTGAATATTAAGAATTCTTTATATATTCTGGATACAAGCCCTTATCAGATATATATTTTGCAAATATGTTATTTTCTTAACAGCTTTTCAAAAGGCGAGGTTTTTTTAATTTTGATGAAGTCTACTTTATCAATTTTTTCTCCCGTAGTTTGTGATTTTTGTTTCCTATCTAGGTAATCTTTGACCCAAGGTCATGAAGATTTTCTTCTGTGATTTCTTCTTGAAGTTTTATAGTTTGAATTCCTACATGTACATATATGCTCCATTTCAGGTTAATTTTTAAATATGGTGCAAAGTTAGGTTGAGGGGTTTTTTTGCATACAGATGTGCAGTTGTTCCAGAACACAGAACCTACAGTCTTAACCATTTTACTACCCTGCCTCCTAATCTTTTATTGTTGAGTATGTGGCTTTATACAAGCCTCCAAGCCTCCAACTCTTCTACTTAGCACATATAGTCTCATAGGGTAAAGGAAATGTGTAGCAGCACCTAGTATAATGTCTACCATATAATAGGCATTCAATCAATGATAGCTATGGTTATTATTGTAAAATCACTTTTTTCAAATCTCATTCTTTCATTCAGCTAACATACTAAACAAGTATCACATGTGCTGGTAATGCATTAGTGAACAAAGTAATCCCATTTTTATGGTGATTACATGCTACTCAGTATACAGATCACAAGATATGTTATTAGTATAATTTTATTAAGTGACATTAAAGTTGAGGATGCATTTTGGTGCAGCTTTGAAAGCTTACAATTAATATTAAGCACTCTGGTAATGTGTTAGTTTAAAAATTAGGTTCTGCAAACGTCTTAGAAGAGGAATTGGTCAGCCTTGGAATCGTAGTAGCAAACAGTGGAAGTACCCAGCATCATCTAAGGGGAGAATTCTCTGAGCCAGGTCACACTTATTTCTAGGAGACGAGGCAGCCAACTGTCCCTGGAAGCAGGGCATAGGGATCATTTTTCATACTTCACTTGTTCAAAGTCCTCTGCTTGAACAAACTTTAAATTGAAGTATAGTCTTCCATGTAAATTTGCCTATAGGCTCAGAATGCACTGGTGACTCACCACGAGTTTCTAGCCCACTCAGTAGTTCTAATGTTTTTTGTTTTTTGTTTTTAGTACATTAAATACTCAGCTTTTTGAAGATTAAATTCTTAAAATGTGGAACTTTACATAATATGGCTCTAAGTACCCAATGAATGAATGACTTGTGGGAGGCATTGAAAGCAGGGCTTGGGCTTTGGAGTTAAAATTGGAGTTTAATTCCTGCTTTTCTTTACTAGCTATGAGGCATTGAGCAGGTTACTTACTGTCTTTGATCCTGTTTCTCTGTGTCCCTTTACAGCGTTGTTAGCATTAAATAAGGTCTCTTTTACCAAGTGCCTGGCTCTAGCACATCTTATTTCTCTTCATACATTTGAAGTATAAACTATAATGAATTTTATTTATGTAGTTTGTTTACAATTTTCAGAATCGTCTAAAAGAAATCGAACAAAATCTCGCTAAAATAATGAAACTTGACAATGAAATTAAAGCCTTGGAAAGCCGAAAGAAGCAAATGGAGAAAGATAATAGTGAACTAGAACAGAAAATGGAAAAGGTTTGTAGTAGTAGAATTTTGTTCTACTTCGAAAATTTAAGATTATTGTAGTGAACCTCATTTGAATCCCTTTTGCCACTCACGTTTTGGAAAAAAAAAAACATAAAAATCATAATTTTTGTCTTCCATGTACATGTTAAAAAGAAGGATATTGAATAAGCTTTGGTTTATATTTTGTACCTCAGACCAATATCTTCTTATGTTTATTCATTAAAGCTCTTTATTTTGGTTCTACATAGGTTTTTCAAGGGACTGATGAGCAACTAAATGATTTATATCACAATCACCAGAGAACAGTAAGAGAGAAAGAAAGGAAATTGGTAGACTGTCAGCGTGAACTGGAAAAATTAAATAAAGAATCTAGGCTTCTCAATCAAGAAAAGTCAGAACTACTTGTTGAACAGGGTAGGACAAAGTGTTTACTTGGTCTTTTTTTCTTATTGTACTATTATGCATTTTCTGCATGAATGATGAATCTCTAGGGAACTATGCTGAGTGAAAAAAAGCCAGTCTTGAAAGATTATATACAGTGTATTTCCATTTATATAACATTTTTGAAATGCCAAAATTTTAAAAGTGGAGGACAGATTAGAGGTTGTTAGGGTTACTAAGTAGGAGGAGGGATGGAAAAAAGGTTAGTGTGGTTATGGCTATAAAAGCAACAAAAGGGATTCTTGTGGTATTGGAACTGTTCATTATCTTGACTGTCATGTAGATATATCAGCTAACACAGGTGATAAAATTATATAGAGCTTAGTATGCGCATACAAATGGGCACAAGTAAAAGTGGGGAACTCTGAATGAGATCGATGGATTGTATCAGTGCCTATATCCTGGCTGATATACTACAGCAGGTCCGTGAATATCTTTGTTTCATTACAATGTTTTTGAGATGCATAGGAACTTAACTCTTGTTTATGTCAATTAGCCTATGGTAAATTTGGTTTCATTATATGTCGTTTTGCTTAAAGTTGCAGAACCTATCCATGACATTAAGTGTATAGTTTTGCAAAAAAAGAAAAAAAAAAGCAGTTTTTGTACTCAATAATTCTGACACTGGATGTGTGGATTTTTTCACCCCAAGCAATTCTCTAATTCTCGGCAACTGGGTGTCCTGTAATTTAATTCGGTTCTGATACTGTCTGGAATTAGCACAGACCCTACAGAGGGCCCAGTCCCACGAGACTGCCTCCCACTTCCAATGCCAATCAAAAGGTCCAGGTTGTCTGTCACCTGTACTTCTGACCAACTAGCTATAAATCTGGCATTCCCACAACCCCTTCCTCAGGTTCAGTAATTTGCTGTAATAGCTCATAGAATCCAGGGAAACACTGTTATCAGTTTATAGTAGATGATACAGCTCAGGAACAGACAAATGGAAGAGATGCATAGGGCAAGGTATGGGGAAGGGACATGGCACTCTCCCAGCACCTCTGTATTCACCAACCTGGAAGAAACTCTCTAAACCTTGCTGGTTAGGAGTCTTATGGAAGTTCCATGTAGGCATGATTGATTAAATTATTGGCCATCAGTGACTGAACTCAGTCTTCAGCCCCTCCCCAGAGTAGAGAAAATTCCTACTCTCTAATCACATAGTTGGTTCCTCTGATAACTAGCTCCCATCCTCCAAGACTCATTTGAATGGACTCAGGTATGGTTGAAAGGGACGTATAATAAATAACAAAAGATACTTCTCTCACTCTTATCACTCAGAAATTCTAAGAGTTTTAGGAGCTCTGTGCTGGAAACCAGGGACAAAGACCAAGTATGTATTTATCATTATATTATATTTGGGGAAACTGGGCAAAGGATGTAAGAGATCTTGCTGTACCTTTTTACAACTGCATGTAAATGTACAATTATCTCAATATTTTTTTTTTTTTCCCACTGTGTAACCCACCTCAGTACCTGCAGCCTACGGGCGGGCACGGAAGCCAGGCAGTGGTTCAGGATTACAGTTTGCTCTGGCATGGGGCACTATGAGAGGCCCTGGGGGATGGGCCTGCCATAAATCCAAACCCATACGTTATCTCAATTTTTAAAAAATCAGCTGGGAAAAAAAGTTGTTATGGTTTTTTAAAGGTCGTCTACAGCTACAGGCAGATCGCCATCAAGAAAATATCCGAGCTAGAGATTCATTAATTCAATCTTTGGCAACACAGCTAGAATTGGATGGCTTTGAGCGTGGACCATTCAGTGAAAGACAGATTAAAAATTTTCACAAACTTGTGAGAGAGAGACAAGAAAAAGAAGCAGAAACTGCCAACCAACTGATGGTAAATATTGTTATTATTTTCTTTTGTTTGTGTCACATTCTCTTGTTGAATTGTTTTAATTTTTGGATGGACCTTATTTTGTGATATTTTTAAATTAGTGTTAGGATAGAATCTGCTACAAGGTAGAATAAACCTTTATGGAAGCAAATTTTTTAATATGTATAAGGATAAAAACATGAACAAAATGCAGTTCTACATTTTTTATTTGGTTTTAAGTAAAATTTCTTTTTAAAGCTAATGGTAAAGAAAAAGTTTGCTCAGAATTAATAATGATTCTCTCTGGGTGATGGCCATCTCATATTTTTATACTTTTCTATATTTTCCTCAGTGTGCGTGTGATACTTTTACAGTGAAGAAACTTGGTTAATGAATTGTTTAGTGAAAAAAATTAATGCTTATTCTTATTTAGAATGACTTTGCAGAAAAAGAGACTCTGAAACAAAAACAGATAGATGAAATAAGGGATAAGAAAATTGGACTGGGAAGAATAATTGAGCTAAAATCAGAAATCCTAAGTAAGAAGCAGAACGAACTGAAAAATGTGAAGTACGAATTACAGCAATTGGAAGGATCTTCAGACAGGATTCTTGAACTGGACCAGGAGCTCACAAAAGCTGTAAGATATTATTTGAGTAATCTAATAATTTTAAGGTATAAGACATTTAGATCCTTGCATTCCGAAGTATTTTTATCTGTCGTTGATCCTGATTATGGCATGTTAATAAAAATATCAACTTTGTCTAACAATCTCATTTAAAATGAACTCATCTGAATATCTTAACAACTTAATTGTTTGGTTCTGGAACCTGGTGGTTTAAAAATTAGAATTACCTAGTATGCATTTTAAAAATACTCTTAGTCTTTACTTCAGACCTTCCAAATCAAAAGGGTAGAGCATGGAAATGTGCATTAAAAACAAAACTAGGTAATTCTTATGAGTACCTTGGTTAAGAACCACTTACCTAAGTTAAAAAAAAAAATTTTTTTCCTCTAGTTTCCACATAATAATTTTACAAAATAATTATCATGTTATCACTTTTTCTGTGGTGGAAACGTTCTTAGCCAGTCTATTCTTTTGATGAATTTTCAGATTTTCTTCCTTGTTTCTAATCTTTTCTCTTCCTTCACATCTCCACCACCAAAGCAAGCATCCTTAAGCTTCATGAAACTCCCTCTCAGGTTCCATCTTGATAATTTAAGTAAACATTTCTTTTTGCTCCCTAATTAACATCTAGTGTACATTTTATGTCAGTTTAGTAGTACTCTATCACAATACTGTCTTGTAACGGGGAGGCACTGGTCAGGGGCTGCATTACACTATTTTTATAGTTTCTACATGCCAGGCAATGTAGTGAGTTACATGGGTACTTGATAAATACTAAGTTTTGACTGAGGAGTCACTAAACTGTATACTTAGACACATTTCTCTTAATTTTGCACTAATTCTCATTTCCACCCCCCTGTTTAGCCCTTCCAGATTTATTTACTAATTCTCGAGCATTATAACATAGTAAGACAACTTTATAAGATTTTCCTTAAAATTCTTATTCCTTGTTTTTTACTCTATTGGATAAAAACAAACTAATATTTTGACCATTCTGAGTGAGTAATTTTTTTTTTTTGAGTAGTTAATTTCTAATACTCTTTGTCATTATTTTAATACAAACTATATAAACTTGTGCATTTGTTTGAATTATTTGTAAGGAACGTGAGCTAAGCAAGGCTGAGAAAAATAGCAATATAGAAACTCTAAAAACAGAAGTAATAAGCCTTCAAAATGAGAAAGCAGACCTAGACAAGACCCTGCGTAAATTGGACCAGGAGATGGAGCAGTTAAACCATCATACAACAACGCGCACCCAGATGGAGATGTTGACCAAAGACAAAGTATGACCTTTTTTCTTCTAATTATACTTTTTAGTATTTGAAATAGCTTGTCTTATATTCATAGTTGATACAGTATTAGGTATGTAGTTGGTGTTTGCTTTATATTTTAGGGTCTAAATGAGCTTAATATTCTGTAAAATAGACTTTCAAGCTTAGAAATTATTTTCTAATTACAAAAAATTAAGAATAGAGAAGTATTGTGTGCATTGCTGTTAATTTTTGTCATATACAGAAGTTTAATTTTTATATCATCAGACTTGTTACTCTTTTATGGCTTAGCAAAGCTATCCCCACTCTAAGACTAAGAAATTTTATATTTTCTTGTATTTTTATAATTTTACTTTTTTAAGCCCAGAAATATAATTAATCTAGAATTTATTTTTGTTCTTGATATAATGCAGAGATACTGAGCTTTATTTTTAAAAGATTTTTTTTTTCCCCTATAGGCTGACAAAGATGAACAAATCAGAAAAATAAAATCTAGGCACAGTGATGAATTAAATTCATTGTTAGGGTATTTTCCCAACAAAAAACAGCTTGAAGACTGGCTTCATAGTAAATCAAAAGAAATTAATCAGACCAGGGACAGACTTGCCAAATTGAAGTAAGTAGTTGTAACAGTTGGGACATAATAGAAATCTCTTAGTTCATCCTTTCATTTCTAATTGTTTAAAACCATATTGTCATGAAATGGTATGTCTTGATAAATGACTTTAGTTCTCCTGTATTTTATGAATTAAGTAAAATGTTAACAGTGATTTGGGGCGTCTTTTTCCTTGAAAGTTTGTAGAACTAAGTGAGAGGATTAAAATTCTTCATAAAAATGCGACCTAAAACTATAAAACTCCTAGAAGAAAACATAGAGGGAAAGCTTTATTATATTGAAATAGGCAATAATATCTTGGATATGACACCAAAAACACAGGCAACAAAAGCCAAAATAGACAAGTGGTACTACATCGAACTTAAAAACTTCTGCAAAGCAAAAAGAAACAGTAAACAGAGGGAAAAGGCAGCCTACAGAATGGGAGAAAATATTTGCAAACCATGTATCTGATAAGGGGTTAATATCCAGAATATGTAATTCAACAGTTTAAAAAACCTAAATAGATTTAAAAATGGGCAAAGGACTTGAATAGATATTCTTCCAAAGATATACAAATGACCAACAAATATATGAAAAGATGCTCAACATCACCAATCACGAAAATTCAAATCAAAACCACTTCACACCAGTTAGGATGGCTACTGTCAAAAACACTTCACACCAGTTAGGATGGCCACTTCACACCAGCTAGGATGGCCACTATCAAAAACACAGAAAATAACAAGTGTTGATGAGAATGTTGAGAAATTGGAACCCTTGTGCACTGTTAGTGGGAATATAAAATGATGCAGCCACTATAGAAAGCAGTATAGAGGTTCTTCAAAAAATTTAAAAAAGAATTACCAGATGATCCAGCAGTTCTACTTCTGAGTATATATTTAAAAGAATTGAAAACATAATCTTGAAGAGATATTTGCAAATTCATGTTTATTGCAGCATTATTCACAGTAGCCAAGAGGTGGAAGCAACCTAAATCCATTGATAGATGAATGAATAAAGAAAATTTGGTGTATACCCATACACACACATGTAATGGAATATTATTCAACTTTTAAAAAGAAGGAAATCCTGTCATATGCTACAACTTGGATGAAGCTTAAGGATATTAAGCTAAGCAAAATAAGCTAGTCGTGAAAAGACAAATACTGTATGATTCCACTTACATGAGGTACCCAAAGTAGTCAGACTCTTAGAAACAGAAAGTAAAATGGTCTCCAGGAGCTGGGGGAAGAGAGAAAGAGTTATTGTTCAGTGGGAATAGAGTTTCAGTTAGGCAAGACAAAGTTTTCATCTGTTAAGCTGTTGTAAAATAATGTACATATGGTTAACACTACCATACACTTAAAAATGGTTAAGGTGATAAGTTTCATGTTATGTGTTTTTTACTAAAAAAAAAGTGATTACTTTTTTCACATGTCACCTTGAGTAGTGGTTGGATAAGAGGGTTCATTTCGTGCAGATTTTTGAAGAAGATAGTGGATTTGGCCATGTTAAATTTGAATTTATTATGGAAATGTCTGTTAGAGAATAGAATATCAGAGTTTGAAATTCAGAAGATTAGAAGTTGTTGCTTTGTAAATGATAATTGGAGTCATTAGTATAGGCCATGTCACCTTGAAGGAATTGTGCAAAAAGAAGAGAAGAAGTTACAGTCAGACTCCTGGGAAACACCAACATTTAAACAAGTGAAGGTGACTGGGACATGCCCAGGGAGCCAGGGTAAGGGCCAAACAAGTATCTGGGATGCCTTGAGAAAATAGACCTTTAAGGAGAGGGTCAACAGTGTTTGGTGCTGCTAGGATGGTGATCTTGATGAGCAGTGCCCAGTGGATTGGGTGGTTTTTTTCCAAGTTTTTCCATGACTCAAACAGTGGGAGGTTGGCTAAGATGATGTTTAAGAGTTAGAATGGAGGTAAATAGTACTAGTGATCAAAGTCTTTGATGTATGAGAGAATGAATGATCAGGACGTAAGTCGATAACAGCAAGGAGGGGACATGGGAAAAGTTTTTACAGAAGGGAAAGGAAATAATGTTGTGAAAGGGTCCAAAGGGAATTAGAATATTCCCCTCTCTTCTTTCCCTCCAGTAGATCTAGCAAGCATATTCTCCTTGCTGCAGCTGTTAACCCATGATCTAAGACCATGAACCCCAGAAACCAGGCAGAATTTGCCTGCACTAACTACACCTTTTTCTTGGAGCAGGCCCATGATCAATGTTGGCAACTGAGACTGTGTCCTGGGAAGAGCTCAGGCAGA